TGGTGCGCAATCCCACAATAAACACGGTCAAACATCACACTATATCACTCATAATGCATGAAAATAATGATGAACATCAGAAGGGGTTGAAAATATTAGTTTGTGGGGACGATGAGTTACCCAGTAATCAAACTAATAACGTTGTATATAAGGAGGTTTTTAATAATATATAACCTTTTACCAATGACGATTTTATATTTACTTTATAAATGTCAAAGTATTATAATAACTTAATAATTAATGACCTTTTTTATTTTTTTAAAATTTTTCAAAACATGTAATAGCCCGTACATCGCACGGGTTACATACTAGTGGAATTAAGGAGAAATGGGGTCAACAGTTGACACAATTCTCCGATTTACAATCGCAGCAGTTTTCACTTTTCAGAGTTCACCGAGGAAAAAGCTGAAAGCTGCAAATGGAAGGAGGAGAGAACACGCGGCAGCTCCGGCCACAGACCGCCGTGATCGAAGAATGGCACGGAACTTCTTCGTCGAAGCTCACGAAGACCGCCACCGTCACAGTCTCTGGAAACTCCGTCAGAAAATCCGCTCGGCGCTTCAGTCATCTTTCTAGGAGAATCCTCGACGCTTTTGTTCCCGAGGTGAAAAATAAAATGTCACTTTCAGTTTAATCGTTTTTTGGTAGAGTAATTATGTTGATGTTATATAGAGAATTGGTTGACTGTTTGTTGAAAGGCTGCACATTTATTACTGTAGGTTGAGAATTTGCTTTAACTTTTTCAGGGTTTTGATTCTTTTTATTTTCGTTTGAGAGTAGTTGTGAGCAGAAGCTCGGAGGAGTTTGAGCATCATTTTATGTTGACTGTAGTTAAATTCTAGCTTGTTAGGTCTAATTTGCATATATTTCGTTCATGTGATCTAGCTGCATTGGTGGAGTTCAACTTTCTTTGTCAAATTCTTTGTCGTTGATGTTGGAAAACGTCTAAAGTCAAGTAATCTGTGCTTCGGAAAAACTATAATGGTTTGCTTTCCAGGGTCTAAATTGAAAAGAATGAGCAATTTCGGATTTTTCTTCCACTAGATTGTAGGGAAGATAAATGTTGTGCTGTACAATAGAGAATTTCAACATTGTGTTCTTTTTGTGCTTGATTCATCGTAAAATAATTGAATTTATATGAAATGGCGATAAAATGCAGGGATTTCCTGGCAGTGTGACACCTGATTACGTCCCTTTCCAAATATGGGACTCCCTGCAGGTTCGAGATAATTTGTTTGTGCAGTTTTTCAATTCAAAAATTGCCCCCTTTTCTCCAAATCCATTTTAACGATTTATGAGTATATTCTTTCAGGGCCTCTCGACTTACATTAGAACAATGCTTTCCACCCAGGTTAGATATGGACTGCTGACATGCATAAATCTGTAGGTATTTGCTATGCAAGTTTAATTATTCATTAACATGTATTAGTACTTTAGGCTCTTCTGAGTGCTATTGGGGTCGGTGAAAAGTCTGCTACAGTTATTGGGGCAACATTTCAGGTATGTGACACTTTATGAGAAAGCTCCGTGTTACGCGTTGAAGTCAATATTCATTTGAAAACTGTGAGTTTATTTCCCCCTAAATCTCTCCATTTGAAACATTTTCAGTGGTTTCTGAGAGATCTTACTGGCATGCTTGGTGGTGTCTTATTCACATTTTACCAGGTATTTTTTTCAGCTCCTCGGATTTCGGTTCATTTGGTTTTGAACTTTTCAGGCTTAAATCCTATAAACCGCCTCCTACTTTGCTTACATATATCGTTTCATGACATGCCAACAATCAAACTCCTTCCATTTTCAGGGATCAAACCTGGATAGCAATG